CTGTGTGGTCAAAGACAAGTCACTGCCTTTGTCTCGGCCTTAGTTCCCTATCAGTAGAATGAGGTGTGGTACTTCACGGCCTCTGAGGTGCCTTCTAGTTCTAAACCTATGATTCTCTGAATCAACTCAAAAGAGCAGTGTGTCCTGGATGACGGGATGTGGGAATGTGGGAATGTGGGCAGAGGACGATTGAAGAAAGGCTCTGAGGCTCACTGGGGATGGCATTGAGAATTGGGCGGAAAAGGTAACTAAAATGTTTGTTTCCTTTGACCCACGGGTTCATTGCTAGACATTGGTTATCCCAAGGGTGTCAGAGACAGAGAGAAAGGTCTCACATAGACCAAAGTATTCACAGCAGCACTTGTGAGGTAGCAGAGAAGTGGAAAGCTGAGAGGCAGGAGAGGGGCAGTGGATGTGGCCATTAGGCCGTAGCTGGCTTTAAGCAAGGCCTGGGTTCCCGATTCATCCCTAACACAAGTGCGTTGTGACTGTGGACAGGTCATCTTACCTCCTAGAGCCCCAGGCAGTTCACTGAGATCAGTTTGTAATCTGCAGTCCATGAACTTGTTAATATTTTAATAACTGAATTTCAATAGAATTGTTTCCCTTATCATCCTATGTGTTGTTTTTTTAAAAACATGGTTTTGAGAAAGGGTCCATCCATAGGCTTCACCAGACTGCCAGAGGGGTCCGAGCCACAAAAAGGATTCAGAAACCCTGCCCTAAGACTAACCCTAACCCTAGGTAGGGAGGGATCTACCTTGGTAGAGGGAGTGGTTCTCTATTTCCTACAAATGAAATCATATGATTGATTAAAAAAAAACCAATGAAACCATGGATGGCCATTGGTGGGGGGATTGCTAAATAGATTGTGGAGTCCATTAATCATGTAATGGACTATTACTGGGCCATAAGAAATGATAAATATGGAGAATTCAAAGAAGCTTGGGAAGACATAGGTAGTGATACCGAGGAAAGTGATAACAAAGAAACGCGCAGTAATCTAGAGGGAAGGAGAAGAAAAAGAAAGTAAGCGCTCTAATTATAATGACAATGGAGAAGAATTGGGAAAATGGGCTACAGGTGTGGGATCTTGCTCTCACAGTTAAGCAAGGCTGGTGGGCCAGCTTTGCTCATGTGGTTTTCTTTTCTTTCCTTTAAAATCTTTATTACAAAGGATGGCTTCCTGGGTAGGAGGTGGCAGTGAATGTGATGTAAAAATAAAAGATAGCAGTAAGAACAAGGTTTTAAAAAGAGCAAGAGATTATGGTGGCTTTCGAGCAGTTTCAGTCGAGCCAGATAGGAAAGAATGATGAGGAAGTGCAGGCAGCAAGGGGTGTAGGTTCCTTTTTCTAGGAGATACAGAAGGATCGTTTGAGGGGGTGGAAAGGTGAGAGGAACTTTTTTGTTGTAAGAATGAAAAGATCTGATCTGATCGCTCTCTTGGGAACTGATTCACACTGATGAAACTAGAGAGAGACTGATTAATCACTAAACCTTTATTAATTGAAATTATTCAATTTAACAAATATTTAATTAGCATCCGTTTATAGGGCACTGTGCTAGATGCTTAGATTTTAGTCTAGTAGAAAAATAAAGATGCAAATATAGATAATCTTTAAACAACATTATACTATGTATGTATTAGATACAAGTAAAGTGCTAAGGCTTCATGGAGTAAATGACTTTTGAGTTGGTTTTTTGAGGATGGGAAAGAGTCCTACAGGTAAAAATGGGGAGAGAACCCCCTCTAGGCCAAGAGTTTTATGAACTTACTTAAAAAAAAAAGATTTTAACTATTTCTTCAATGCAATTGGTTTCCTTTGTAATCTTGTGAATTTTTAATACGTTTAAGAACATTATTTTGAGAAGAGGTCCAAAGACTTTACCAGGCTGCCAAAAGGGTACATAAAACAAAAAAAGTTTAGGACCCCTTGCTCTAGGCAAAGGGAATACTGTAAACCAAAGGTACACAGGTGGGAATGACCGGGGTACAAGTAGAGGCCAGGGAATAGTGCAGTTTTGTTTGGAGGGTAACAGCTGAAGTCAGGAAATGTAGAATGGTGCCAGAGGTTTTGAATGACAGTCAAAGGGCTTTGACCTTTAGTTGGGAGAGAGAAGGAAGTCACAGGATTTTTCAGCACAGAAGTGACATAGTCAGGTCTTCTGTGGTTAGAAGCAGGCTCACATTGCAGATGTTCCCATCCCCTACTCTCTCTTTTGAACAATGATGTTTCCATTAAGGCAAGTTAAGAATTTCCCAGTTGTTATGGACTACATGACCTCTGTAGTCCCTTCGAGCTCCAAGTGTTTGATCCCTTGGGCAATAATGATGAGTTCACAGAGCTATGCCTCACTAGACAACTGGTCACAGCTATCTGCTTAGTACCTTTCCTACTGGTAGGTAAAGCCATCCTGGAATCCAGTTACAAAATCAGAAGGTGCTTAATGTGTATGAAATCAGAGCAGAGGGCCTTGCATGTTCTCGGGGAAATTTCTTTGAGCCCTCTACTTTTCTAGGAGAATTTCTTCCCAAATAACTGATCTTGGCCACTTAGATTCTGAATGCACTTTTCTCTGGACAGTGTCAGAGATGCAGTGACATGCCTGATTCCTCTTTGGCCTCCCTTTTATAGACTCCGTGCAGATCTCACCCGCCTGCTAAGGCAGCATTTCCTGGGACAAGTCACAACACAGTTAAATAGAAGACAGCTTTCTTTCCCACCAGGTACATTCCAGACATTCTTTCCCAAGGAGATCTGAGGAGATGTCTTCCCAGTTTCATTTTGGAGACTGGTCTTCTAAATAGATCATAGTTTGTTAGGCGCCCCCCCCCCCCAAAAAAACCCCCAATACCCAATATTGCCACATATTACAGCACAGTAAAGGAGAACACAACCTAGTATGTCTTTAGTTACACTGTAGGTAAATGTTTTACCACAGCCCAATCCTACACGATTTCTTAGCCCAGTGGTTTGGGAGTGGGGGGTGGTTTCTCCTGCCACTCACCAACCTCCTATATGTTAGAAGGATGACATTTCCGGGTCTAGGGGTGCTCTCATGCTCTGACCACAGAAGGCAGCCCAGGTGGAGTGCCCGAGGAGTGGGAAAGCCCACAAGTACTCCAGGAGTTCAGATGAGGAAGTGATCCCTGTGGCCTGAGGTAGTGGTGGAAAGGCTCCAGAAGGAGTGGGGCTCGAGCAGAGTCCAGGGTTCAGAGGGGCGAAGAGAAGTCATTTGATGCAGCAAAGTGCATCCTGTCCTTTCTCACATCTAACAGTTGCTGAGTCCTGTCCATTTTATTTCCACAGTGTTTCTTGTGTCCGTCCCATCCTTCCATTTCCCAGGGCTGCCACCCTCATTCAGGGCATTCTGAGGTGGTCTGTTAAGACCGGGAGTATAAGCAGCCTGGCTGCAGCAGGGGACTGGTAAAGGCCACAAGCTTGGGTGGGGCCTTGGATGCCAGACTGCACAGCTTGCATGGACAGTGCTCCTGCTTCAGCCTGAGGACTGGGCTTAGCAGGGCCTTTTCAGTATGAGGAGACATAGAGAAAGGAGGGCTAAGTGGGCCCACTCAGCGGCACCGGGGCTCAAAAACGTGGGGTTTGTGCAGAAACGATTCCTGAGGGAGAATTAGCTGCAGCTGCAGGACATGGTAAAAGCCAGCTGTTGTCTTGATAACGAAAGCATTGTTTCTGTTGTCAGAAAGACTCAGGATGCTTTTACACTTTTTGTCTGAGCTATTTGTTCTGGAGAGTTGGCAGGGGAGGAAAGAAGCACTGCCTAGTGAAGTCGCTGAGTTACCTGTAGAGTGTGCCGGGGAGGTTGGAAAACACACTCTTGACCACTGGCCTCCCCTTCCCTCCACTGCCCTCCTCCTTTTTCCCCTGCTCCCCACTAATCTTCTCCCCTCTTTTCCCCTTCCTCTCTTCCCTCCCCTCTCATCTTCTCCCCTCTTTTCCCCTCCCCTCGTCTCCTCTCTTCCCTTCTCCACCCCCTCCCCTCGCTCTCTCCATCTGTGTCTCTCCGCAGGAGGAAGATGCTATCATCCGCTGTCTGTCCGTCATCAGTAACCTTGCTGATCAGCTCTATTACCCCTGTGAGCACGTTGCCTGGGCCGCTGATGCTAAGATTATTCACATCAACTCTACCAGGTGGTGGATACTAAGTACGGCCCTCTGGGGCCTTTCACTTCTCCTAGGAATTGGACGGTGAGTGAAAAGATTGGATTATTTGCCTGCTCCAATTTGAGTTAATCTCCAGGAGGAAGCATGTGACTTTAGTTCAGAGATTTCTCTAATGGTTCCACCAAACAAAGGAACACTTGAGCTGACAGCCCAAGTGGATGAGGCTGCTGGTGACACATGAGCCATGTGAATTAAGAAACCCTCTTTCTATTGGTCAAGGGTGTGCAGGTGCCTGGAGCCAGGCACCGTCGTCATCTGAGCCGGGCTTTAGCTGCAGCCTCTCTTCTCAACCTGCTCCTTAGGGAGTTTGTATGTCCTTGGCCTTCTTCTCTCTATTCATGATGAAATCAGACCTTTCCCTCTCTGACCTCAGGAAGGAGAAATAATTCCAGAGGAGCTGGCTGCTCTGGTTGTTTCTAAGGGAGATAAGCTCCTGCAGAAAAATCTCTTGTGTCCTGCTATATTCTTAGCAAAAATGCCTAAATAAGACTGTCAGGTGTTTACCTGTAAGCTGAATTCATCCAAAAGCTTCAGTATCCAGAGGACTTCAAAGCAGCATTTTCCTTGTAAATCTCTTTATGCTAGCAGAGGTGCTAAGTGCATTTTAAAATTGTTTGCTGCGGAATACTAGTGGGAGAAAAGACATTTCCCCTTTTTAGACTTCAAATAATCACCTTGTTTGGATAATTAGCCATTTGGGTTTTTTTTGTTTTAGGCAGCTGGGATTAAGTGACTTGCCCAGGGTCACACAGCTAGTAAGCGTCGAGTGTTTGGTCTGAGGCTGGATTTGAACTCAGGTCCTCCTGACTTCAGGGCCAATGCTCTATCCACTGCGCTACCTAGCTGCCCCAGATAATTAGCCATTTGGAAAGGACTTCATAAAACCTTATTTAAAAGTAAAAGTCTTTGTTTTAATCTTGGAGTAATTTTTAGTGAGTTACCTTGTTTGTTGGGAGCATAGTCTCCTTGGGCCTCCCAGAACGCCATTATAGTAAAAGGACCAAAAAAAAAAATCACTTCATAAAGAAGATCAGTAGAGTTTCTCAGGAACAGCTCCTGCCTTCAGCAGCAAAGCAAATGTGAAAATAAAAAGTATTCTGCTTGGTAAGATGTGCAAATGGATGCTTTTTGTTTCAGGCTCTGCCTGCAGTCTTCAGAGATTATCTTTTGGAAGAGGTGGATCTGGATTTAAATCCCAGTTCCACTACTTGATACCTATGTGACCTTAGGCAAGTCACTTCTGTTTTCTGGGCCCCTCTAAAATTCAGGGTTGGATCAGATGACCTCTGCCCTCTGAGGTCCTTAGATCTAAATCCTCTGGTCTTCTCTGCTTCTTTGAGAGATAGATATGGCAGCCAGCCACCCACCATGTATGTTTTTCCTGATATTTTTTCTGGTCTTTGCAGATCACTGAAGATTATACTGAATCTGAGAAGGAAATTGAGAAATCCTGAAAGATCTGCTAAGTATGATTTCATCTTCTTTCTTATTCTTTCTCTCCTAGGAAAATTAGATCATAGTTCAATTACGTCAACTAATTTTCATGTCAAGTAGGAAGCAACACAAGAGGAAGAGAATCATTAGCAGATCAATCTAGTTATCTGAAGAGGTTGATAGAATTGCTTTTCCTATTGTCATCACTTCATAATGAGAAGGAATAGTAATTCCTGAATTCAGTCATATTCTGTTAAATGTTTAACAACCAGATTTGGGGGCAGGAGGGTGACATACATGACATACTTTTAAGTTTAATATTCATTATTAATATTTTCTCCATCACTTAAATGTAGAGCAACAAAAAAATCAAGTGCTGATGTGTAGTATTTGCCAATTTCTGAGGTGTAAATGCTCACTCTGAACATTTAAAAATCAGCTGAAGAGCTGATTTAAGCTGGTTTCAGCATACCCCTGCCTGAATTATTTCCTAAGACTATGGCTTATGGGGGCACGATTATTATCATGACAGAGAACATACAACGTCAGATCTGTAAGGGGTTTTAGAGACCGCCTAAAGACAGGGGCTCTTAACCTTTTCTGTATCCTTGACCCCCGAGGCAGTCAGTCTGATAAAGCATATGGAGACCTTCTCAGAATCAGGTTTTTAAATGCACAAAATAAAATACATAGGATTACAAAGGAAACCAATTATGCTGAAATATAGTTATCAAAATATTCCTTAAAAAAAGTTTATGGACCCCAGGCTAAGAAACCTGATCTAAACGAATCTCTTCCATCTGCAAAAGGGAAAATTGAGGCTGTCAGAGGGGGAAAATGAAGCTCAAAGAAGGGAAAGGACTTGCTCAAAGTCCCTGAGCTGCTCTGTTTTTCTGCATCCTGCCCCTGTCTTCCCCTCCAAAACCACAGAGTCAGTGTTTGAGAGCTTTGTGGAAGCCCATGTCATTGTCCTAACACTCCAACTGAAAACACAGCTTGGTTACACTTAAGCCTACAGGGACAAAGCTCAGCCTTTCAGCACCAAGGCAGGACCTGGCACCCCACAGCCCAGTGTGGAATCATGGACAAAGTTCTGGACTTGGAGCCTTAGTTTTCTTAGCACTTATTGTCTGTGTGGCCCACAGTGGGGCACTTGATTCTGCCAAGACTCAGTTTCTTCATCTCTAAAATGGGGTTGAGGTACTTGCAGGGCTGTTGTGAGGAAAGTACTGTGTAAGCCTTAAAGTGCTGTAGAGATGTTAGTATTATTATAAATACTTGTTGAGTTGAGTAGCAGAAGAAATAATGACTATAATGATGAAGTAACTAACTCATTTATTTATCAATGATCTGTGATTTCATCTGTGTGGGAACTGTCTCCACTGAAGTCAACTTCAGTCCATGAGTAACTTGCTAGATAAAGCCCCTTCCTTGTGCTAATGGGCTCATTGTCCTCGTTCAGGGCCTCATTACCTCTTATGGGGACTATTGCAGTAGCCTCCTAATTGGTCTCCTGCCCCCAGCTGTCACCTGTTCAAGCCACCCTCCATACAGATGTCCAGGTCTGACCAGGTCACTCTCTTGTTCAGGAAATCCCAGGGGCTCCCTCTGGCCTCTTGAAGAAAATAGAAATTTTGCTTTATCTTCTGAGGCCCTTCCTCGTCTAACTCAAGTCTGCCCTGACAAGTTCTTGGCATACTGCTCTCATTTACACATTGAGGTACTGGTCACACTGACTTTTTTGCTCTTCCTTGTACTTGAGATTCCATCTTCCATCTCCTTGTCTTTGCCCAGGCTCTCCTCCCGACCTGGAATGCACACCCTCTTAACCTTTGCCTTATAGAATCCTTAACTTCTTATAAAGCTCAGCTCAAGGACAATCTCCTACAGAAAGCTGTCCTGACCCCTCCTGAAATGACTTTGTATCTCTTTGGCTGTAAACATGCTGTTCCTTGTTCCCTGCCCCCTAGAATGGAAGTCTGCTAGTTTCTTAAGGTCGGAGCTAGGATAATGCCTAGCACATAGTAGGTGCTTAATAAATGCTGGTTTAATGAATCAACTTACTTGTTGAACAAGCCTCAGAGAATTGCCTTAGACCCTGAGAAGTCATGTGACTTGCCCATAGTGTCACAGCTAGTTAGTGTCCAGTATGGATTTGAACCCAAGTCTTTCTAACTCCAAGTACTTGATTAAGCCAGAATTATACTTGAAATTCATTTACATAGTGTTTTAAGGGTTTACAAAATAATTGCTTCATAATAACCCTATAAGGTTCGTAACATAAATATTATTCTCCTGAATAATAGTCAATGATACTGCTAGTGTCAGACCTTGACAAGTTCTGCTGAGTCCAAGCTTAGGGCTCTTAATTTTTTTTTTTTTTGGCAAGGCAGTTGGGATTAAGTGACCTGCCTAGGGTCACACAGCTAGTAAGTATCAAGTGCCTGGTCTGAGACCAGATTTGAACTCAGGTCCTCCTGATTCCAGGGCAAGTGCTCTATCCACTGCGCCACCTAACTGCCCCCCTAGGGCTCTTTCTACAATTACCATGCCATCTCTCAAGTTGGTCATTGGAAAGGTTTTCTTTTCTTTCTTTTTTTTTGGGGGTGGGGGGTGAGGCAGTTGGGGTTAAGTGACTTTCCCAGAGTCACACAGCTAGTGAATATTATGTGTATATTAGGTTGGATTGAACTCAGGTCCTCCTGACTCCAGGGCTGGTGCTCTATCCACTGTGCCATCTAGTTGCCAAGATTTTTAATTAATTAATTAATTTTTAGTTTTCAACATTCATTTCCACAAGATTTTGAGTTCCAAATTTTCTCCCCATCTCGTCCCTCCCCCCACCCCAAGATGGCATGCATTCAGAATACCCCTTCCCCTAATCTGCCCTCCCTTCTATCTCCCCTTATCACCCCTTATCTCCTTCCCCTTCTATTTTCCTGTAGGGCAGGGTAGATTTCTATACCCCATTGCCTGTATATCTTATTTCCCAATTGCATGTAAAAACAATTTTTAACATTTGTTTTTAAAGCTTTGGTTCTATATTCTCTCCCTTCCTCCCTCCTCATTCACCCTAATTGAGATAGGAAGCAACTTAATACAGGTTATACATGTGAAACACTTCCATAGTAGTCATGTTGTGAAAAACTAACTGTATTTCCCTTCATCCTCTCCCCTCCCTCCCCCATTTATTCTGTTCTCTCTTTTGACCCTGTCCTTCCTCAGAAGTGTTTGCTTCTGATTACCCCCTCCCCCAATCTGCCCTCCCTTCTGTCATCTTCCCCTCTCTTGTCCCCTTCCCCCTCCTATTTTCCGGTAGGGTAAGATAGATTTCCATACCCAATTGAGTGTGTATGTTATTCCTTCCTTAAGCCAAATCCAGTGAGAATAAGATTCACTCATTCCCTCTCACCTTCCTCCAATTCCCCTCCACTGTAAAAGTCTTTTCTTGTCTTGTTTTGTGTGAGATAATTTACCCTATTCTACCTCTCCCTTTCTCCTTTTCCCAGTATAATCCTCTCTCACCCCTTAATTTTATTTTTTAGATATCACCCCTTCATCTTCAACTTACCCTGTGCCCTCTATCTCTCTCTCTATCTATATATACATATATTTTTTTTCCCTCCAACTACCCTAATACTGACAAAGGTCTCATGAGTTACAAATATCATCTTTCCATACAGGAATGTAAACAATTCAACCTTAATAAGTCCCTTATGATTTCTCTTTCCTGTTTACCTCTTCATGCTTCTCTTGAGTCTTGTATTTGAAAGTCAGATTTTCTATTCAGCTCTGTTCTTTTCATCAAGAATGCTTGAAAGTCCTCTATTTCACTGAATGTCCATTTTTTTCCCCTGAAGGATTATACTCAGTCTTGCTGGGTAGGTGATTCTTGGTTATAATCCTATCTTCTTTGACCTCAGAAATATATTCCAAGCCCTTCAGTCCCTTAATGTAGAAGCTGCTAAATCTTGTGTTATCCTGATTATGTTTCCACAGTACTTGAATTGTTTCTTTCTGGCTGCTTGCAATATTTTCTCCTTGACCTGGGAACTCTGGAATTTGGCTATAATATTCCTAGGGGTTTTTTGGGGGATCTCTTTCAGGAGGTGATTGGTGGATTCTTTTAATTTCTATTTTACCTTCTGGTTCTAGAATATCAGGGCAATTTTCCTTGATAATTTCTTGAAAGGTGATGTCTAGGCTCTTTTTTTTATCATGGCTTTCAGGTAGTTCAATGATTTTTAAATTATCTCTTCTCGATCTATTTTCCAGGTTAGTTGTTTTTCCAATGAGATATTTCACATTGTCTTCTATTTTTTCATTCTTTTGGTTTTGTTTTATGATATCTTGATTTCTCACAAAGTCACTAGCTTCCAGTTGCTCCATTCTATTTTTTTTTTTTTTTTGGTGAGGCAGTTGGGGTTAAGTGACTTGCCCAGGGTCACACAGCTAGTAAGTGTCAAGTGTCTGAGGTCGGATTTGAACTCAAGTTCTCCTGACTCCAAAGCTGGAGCTCTATCCATTGTACCACCTAGCTGCCCCCTCCATTCTAATTTTTAAGGAAGTATTTTCTTCAGTGAACTTTTGGACTTCCTTTTCCATTTGGTCAATTCTGCTTTTTAAGGCATTCTTCTCCTCATTGGCTTTTTGGACCGCTTTTGCCATTTGGGTTAGTCTATTTTTTAAGGTGTTACTTTCTTCATTATTTTTTTGGGTCTCCTTTAGCAAGCTGTTGACTTGTTTTTCATGATTTTCCTGCATCATTCTCATTTCTCTAACCAGTTTTTCCTCTACTTCTCTTCTCAAAATCCTTTTTGAGCTCTTCCATGGCCTGGGACTGATTCCTATTTTTCTTGGAGGCTTTGGATGTAGGAGCTTTGACTTTGTTGTCTTCTTCTGGTTCTATGTTTTGATCTTCTTTGTCACCAAAGTAAGATTCTGTGGTCTGACTTTTTTATGCAGTTTGCTCATGTTCCCAGCCAATTACTTGAGTTTTAAACTCTTTGTTAAGGTAGGGGTCTGCTTCCAGTGTGGAGAATGTACTGTCCCAAGCTTTGGGGGTTTTGTGCAGCTGTTTTCAGAGATACTTCTAGGAACCTGTAAATTTTCAGTTCTTCCAAGGTGGTATGATCAAGGCCGAGGTGCTTACTCCTTTCCTGACCTATGCTGTGGTCTATAAGTGACCACAAGCACTCTGCCTTGGAACTGTGAGGAGGATTCCCTCTCCACCACTACTACAAGCCCCACCACACTAGTGCTCCTTCTCATCCCAGGACCACCACCCAGTACTATGACCAAGATCCAAGCACTGGCAAAGCAGGAGAATCCTGCCTCAGCACCAGCAAAGAGATCCTTGCAATCCCCCTCTGATCAGCTGCTTGAAGACCCCTCTGTCTGTGAGCTGAGAGTTCTGGAAGCAGCTGCCACCGTGGGGCTGTGTCAGGACTGGGGCTGGACCAAGCTTCTCTCTCATTGAGGTCAGACAGACCTTTCCTACTGACCTTCTAAGTTGTCTTTGGCATTTGTGGGTTGAGAAGTCTGGAAACTGCCACAGCAAGATTTTATTTTTTTTTATAAGAAAATGTCCAGGATCACCTTAGAAAGAGTTGAAAGCCAAAAGACTCAGGTTCTAATTCTGACTCTCTCACTAACTTGCCATGTGAATTTGAGGAAATCCATTAACTTGTCTGTGCCTCAGTTTCCTTATCTGTAAAACAGAGAAAGTAATACCTGTCTCAACCTCCTCACAATATCATTATGGCACCTGAAGGAGATAACTCTTGGGAAAGGACTGTGAAGAGTTAAAAGCCTTATAAAAATACAAGGTACGATAATGTCTCCAAAGACAGAAGAGCTCACATCTTTAGGACCCTAAAGTTTGCAAATGCTTCCTTCACAATAGCCCTGTGAGGTAGAAGAGTAAATTGAGCTTCTAAGAGGTGGAGTTGTGTGGAACCACACAGTAAGCATCTTAGGTTGGCATTTGAAGCCAGGTGATGCTTTGCCAACAAAGAGTCTTCCTACCCCCCCACTCCCAGCTCTGCCTTGGAGTATGACCTTTGGTCTCCTGGCTCCTGGGCTAGTACTGTTGCTGCTTTACCACCCTGCCTCCCTATGGGATCCCTTACCAGGACAGAAGCATTTTCTGTTTTGGCTGCCTCAGACTTGTTTACATCTTTCTCCAGCCTTCAACACAAGTGGTCTGCAGAGCTCCCCTGGGCCTTGGGGATAGGTCAGATTGATACAATTAAGAGTGGCTTATCTCCCCTCTATAATCTGCTTTGGTCAGGCCACATGAGGAGGGCAGTCAGTATCAGCAAGGGCCTTGTGAAGATCAGCTCAAGGAACTGGGGACCTTGAGCCTGGAGAAGAGAAGGCTTAGGGGGAAGACAGTAACTGACTTCTCCTAATTAAAAGACTCTTGTATGTGTAAGTTTGTTCCTTCTGGGCCCCATAAGACAGGTTCTGGAGAAGAAGCTGCAAATTGCCAATTGAGGCTGAGTGACAGGACAAGCTTCCTAACCAATAAGAGTGATACAGAGGTAGACTCGGTAACTTTTGGAGGTGGCAGGGGGTTTTCAAACAAAGGCTAGATAAATCCTACTTGGGTGTCATTTTTAGACCTGGGTTGCATTAGATGGCTGCTGAGGAGGCCCCTCCCAACTAGGAAATTCTGTTTCTGTGACTCTGTCTCCTATTTCAGTAATGATATAATGTACTATCTTTTTTTAAACTAACTAATTTATTTTTGGTTTTCAACATTCACTTCCATAAGCTTTTGAGTTTTAAATTTTCTCCTCCTCCTCCCCCTCTTCCCTCCTCAAGATGACGTACAGTCTGATATAGGCTTTTTATACACATTCCTGTTAAACATATTTTCACATTAGTCATGTTATAAAGAAAAATTAGAACCAATAGGATGAATCACAAGAAAGAGGAAACAAAACAAAACAGAAGAAAAAAAAAAGAGCAAATAGTATGTTTCGATCTGCATTCAGATTCCATAGTTTTTTCTCTGGATGTGGATAGCATTTTCCATCATGACACTTTTGGAAATGTATTAGATCTTTGCATTGCTGAGAAGAGCTAAGTCTATCAAAGTTAGTCATTGCACAACGTGGCTGTTACTGTGTACAACGTTCTCCTGGTTCTGCTCACTTCACTCAGTATCAATACATATAAGCCTTTCCAGGTTTTTCTGAAGTCTGCCTGCTCATCATTTCTTATAGCACAATAGTACCCCATTACATTCATATACCACAACTTGTTCAGCTATTCCCCAATTGATGGGCATCCCCTCAATTTCCAATTCTTGGCCACCACAGAAAGAGTGCTATAAATATTTTTGTACATGTGGATCCTTTTCCTATTTGTATGATCTCTTTGGGATACAGTCCTAGAAGTGCTATTGCTGGGTCAAAAGGTATGCACATTTTTATAGCCCTTTGGGCATAGTTCTAGATTGTTGTTTTGGTTTTTTTTTTGCAGCCAAAAACAAAGTTTATTGAAGATTTGCCATATTAGCTAGATTCTTAAGGAATCTGAGCATCTATGGGCTATTGGCTAGATTGTAAAAATCTGCGCATCTTAATGGAGACAAGATGGACCTTATATACAGAAGGACTGTGGGAGGGATCTAGAGACAATTTCCACCCGTTTTTCTTCTCTGCTACAATATCGTTTTAACTCTGAGAGCATATTTTTCTCTAATGTCCCAAAAATGGGCCATGCCTCATAATTTTCCAGGTGATACTGAGGCCAAATGGTGTTGCAAAAGAATACCAGCCTTTTTTCCCAATTTCGTAAAATACAGCCCAAAGGCAAATCTTCAGGAATTGAAGAGGATTGACCCTTTGTGGGTGTGGGGACTGGAAGTCCCTCCCTCCTAAAAAAAGATTTAGGAATAAGACATCGGGAAACAGACAAAAAAGTCAAAAACCCAAAGAAGTACGTTAATTTTTCCCAAGTCCCTGGCGCTGAGAGAATTGAGAGGCTCATATCCATGGTCTTGAATAGAACCACTGGACGGAGAGCCTGAGAGCACAAGTCAAGCCTTCCTAGTTGCTTGGAAATCCACCAATTAAAGAGTAAAAGAAAAAAAAAGAAAAGGGATTAGGAGAAGAGGGGAGGCTTACGTACCTTCCAATCCTGGCTGGTGAAGAGCTTGGTATAGGCAGTTTTTCCCGGTCAGGGAAATATATGATGCGGGTTGGAGTTCAGGGGTGCTGGGACCCCAAAATCACGATACCCGGGTCCTGCCTGAAAAAATTCGACCCAAGCCTTCTTGCAGCCAAAAACATAGATTCTTAAGGAATCTGAGCATCTATGGGCTATTGGCTAGATTGTAAAAATCTGCGCCCATAGTTCCAGATTGTTCTCCAAAATGGGTGGATCAGTTTACACATAGTATGCTATCTTAGACATAACTTCTGGAGTAAAAAAAAAAAGCATTTAACATCTTTTCTTTTTCTGTCCTCCACAGCAAATCTTTTAGAAGAGAAACGAAGATGATTGAAACTCAGGTGAAGTCAGAAATTTTAACCCTTCTTAGCAATTTGGCTGATCTAGCCAACGCCATCCACTGGTTGCCTCCAGGATTCCTCTGGGCAGGACGATTTCCTTTCTGGCTAGTGGGTCTCATGGGCAGCGTGTCCTCTCTCATTAGTATGTACCAAGCATCTGGGCCTCACTCTGAAAAGTCTGATGACTCTTGACATTGATGACTGGTTTGAGGAATACATGAATGTGACTGAAAACTCTTGATCAGAGCAGGGGGTTATTAGGATAAAGGCTGGGCTTTTAATTGCTCAGAATAATAAGATGACTGAGAAATTTAAGAAAGAGATCCAAAAATTACTACTGCTGGAGGGGGAGAAACAGGACAGGGAAGTTTAATTTAAAGGAAGAAGACCATTGGGAGATGTGTGGGCCTGAGGGGTTTTTCCCATGGGACAGAAGTGAGACATCTTTTGGCCTCTTGTTTTGCAAAACTCCAGCAGTGTCACAGTGGATTCAGAAGGATAGTTCAGGCATTGCCACCTATGGAAAGAACCTTGCTATTCATAGTCCTTGGAGAGGGAAAGTTGGGAACCTGGCTGAGCAGGCTCTGGTACCCCCAGCTCTCTGGCCATTCCTTCCCCTCAAACCCCAGAGCACCAGGTTTTTTGTTGGTGGGATGTTGTGGAATTGCCAGTATTTGTAGGCAAAGGCTAGGACTTCCCAGCTGTTCAGGGCTTGCCCTGCAGAGAGAGGACCAAATACCACCTTCCTCAGGTCAGCTTAAGTTCTAAACCTTGGCAAGCCCTCCTGGGGATTTAGCTTTGTGAATGGTTGGGCTATTCTGCAGACCACAGACTTCTCAGGGATCAGCCAACGTTAGTATCTAATAGACTGCTTTTGCCTTACCTTAGATTTGTCTTCAAATAATATGTTAGAAAAGGGGATTTCTTTTAGCTTGGCTGACTGAAATTCAGTTCCTTCTCACTTTTTTGTTAGACAACAGGAAATGTATCTTTTGCTGACATTTGAAAAGCTGTGAGATGTAGCAGAAAGCACCCTGGGCCTGGGAATCAGGGGCCTTGGGCTCCTATGAGGACTTGGTGCGTTCATCTAGCCTCTCTGGGCCTGTCTCCTAGCCTATAATAATATTTGCTCTACTTTTTTCCACAAATATAACAAAGATCAAATGAGGTATCTATAACACCACAGGACTGTGAGGCAATATTATCCTTGGCATCTAAAAGCAAATCAACTAGATTTTGATTTTGAAAATAAGTTTTTAAAATATTATGTGCTAATGACAAACTGATGAAACTTTGCTCTGATATAGAAGAATCATCTAATATGTATCCAATAATAAAATGGAAATAGAAGATCAAGCTTTGCCTGGCCTCCCACTGTGGTCTGCTGTTACATGCTGCTGTTTGCACACAAAGATGTGACTACTGACCCGTCATCCACAGGACTTCTGTCTATTCAACAAGCACTCATTAATTCAGTTCAGTTTAATAATTATTTCTTAAGAGCCTCCCACGGACTTGGGGATTCAAAAGCAAAAATGAAAACATCATCTCCTATATGCAAAGCTCTGTGACCCGAGATCTTAAGATAAATAAGACAAAGTATGAACTCCTTAAGGCATTTACAGTCTTACAGGGGAGATAAAACACAATAAACCTAATTCCACTGAGGGTATGATACATGCACAAGAGGCATCCCAAGTGATCTGAGGTCAGGTGAGGGTTAGAACAGCCCTGGCTGGAAGGATAAACAAAGGCATCATAAAGGACATTGTGTTTGTGATAGGCCCTGAAGGATGGATAAGATGGCAAGAGACAAGTAGGTGAAAAGGGAAGCATGTATACTGTGAAGGGCAACGAATTTGGGACTAGGAGATCCCTGGGTCCAGGCTCTGCCACTTTGGGTAAACATCAGTCCTCATTGCTTAAGTGGCGATAATAATGCTTACATTACATATCCTCCTGGGTCAACTCAATTTAATTGACGTTTCTTAAGTACCTAGCGTGTGCCCGGCACTGTGCTAAGTGCTGAAGATACAAAGAAAGGCAAAAAACAGTTCCACCCCTAAAAAGCTCATATTCTAATGGAGGAGACAGTATATACATAACTAGGCAGTGTATACATAACAAAATATATACCTACAGGGTAGATGGAAGGTCATCTAAAAGGGGAAGGCACTAGCCTCTGGGGAGCTGGGAGGAGGGAGGAAAGAGGCACCAGGAAAGGTCTCCTGAAGAAGTAGTCCAGCTTTGAGTAAATCTTAGAAGCAATGCAGGGAAACATAAAAGGTGAGGCATCAGAGCATTCCAGACTAGGGCATAACCAACAAGCATCACTGAGAGTGTACTAAGTGCCAGGCACTGTGCCAAATGCTAGGGATACAAAGAAAGGCAAAAAACATGGTTCCTGCTCAGTCAGAAGTACACAGTCCAATAGGGGAGACAGTATGCAACCAACTAGGTACATACAAGATAGAGGCAGAGTATATTGGACAGGGAGATGGTGTGTCATGTGCAAGAGACAGCAAAATGTCCAGTGTCACTGGATTGTAGAGCTTGTGAATGGGAGTGAGAGGTAAGAAGACAGACTGAAGTTATAAGGGGCAGCTAGGTGGTGAAGTAGATAGAGCAATGGCCCTGGAGTCAGAAGACCTGAGTTCAAATCTGGCCCCAGACACTTACTAGCTGTGTGACCCTAGGCAAGTCACTTAACCCTGATTGCCCCCCACACCCCCCCTAAAAAATATTAAAAGCTTCACGTGCCAAACAGAGGAATTTGTGTTTGATCCTGGAGGAAATAGGAAACCACTGGAGCTCAGTGACCAAAGGGTGTCACAGTCAGACCTTCATTTTAGGAAAATCACTTTGATAGCTGAGCAGAGGAGAGATTGGGACGAGAGAGACGTAAAGGCAGAAGCTGCACTTGTCCAGCTGAGAGGTGATGAGGGTCTGACTCAGAGCGGTGGTAGTGTGAGTAAAGAAAGGACAGATATTAAAGGTGTTCTGAAGGTAGAAATGATGAGATTTGGCGAAGTTCTAGATATGTGTGGTGAGAGTGAGAGTCAAGGGTGACTCCAATGTTGCAGGCCTGGGTGACTGGGAGGAATGTGGTGCCCTTAATAGTGGATTTTGGAAGGATGAAGGTTGACGATAAAGATGAGTTCTGTTTTGGACATGTTGCATTTTAGATGCCTATATTATATCGTGTTTGAGATACCTAAGAGGCAGGGGAGATGCATGACTAGCTGAGTAGAGAGATTAGGGCAGATTATATATATCTGGGAATTATATGCTTGAAGATGATAATTGAACCCCTAGGAATTGATGAGTTTATCAAGCAAGATGATGTAGAGTGAAAAGAGAAGGGGGCCCAGGGCAGAGCCTTGGGGTGTATACCCTTGGTTAGTGGATAAAGACCCTGCAAAAGAGACTAAGGAGGAACAGAGAAAAAAACCAGTAGTCTCATGAAAACTAGAGAGGAGAGAATATTCAGGGGAATGTGATCTGCAGTGTCAAATGCTATAGAGAAGTCAAGGAGGATGAGGACTGGGGAAAGAATTAAGAGACCATTGTTAACTTTTGAGAGAGCAGTTTCAGCTGAATGAAGTCGGAAGCCAGATTGCAGGGAGATTAGAACGAAGAGAGGAAGTGGAGGCACTAATTGTAAACAGCTTTCTCAAAGGGTTTAGCTACAGAGGGAAGGAGAGATGTAGCTGGCTAGAGTGGTAGGATCATGTGAGGGTCTTTTAAGGGGATATGGGCATATTTATAGGTAGCAGGGAAGGAGCCAGTAGATAAGGAAAGATTGAAGATGAGTGAGAGAGATTAGGGATAATAGCGGGGACAATTTTCTGGAGAAATCAGGAAGGGTCAGGATCAACAATACATATAGAAGGGTTTGCCTTGGCAAGGAGAACCATCTTTTTTTTTTTTTTTTTTTTGGCTAGGCAATGGGGTTAAGTGACTTGCCCAGGGTCACACAGCTAGTAAGTGTTACGTGTCTGAGGTCAGATTTGAACTCAGGTCCTCCTGACTCCAGGGCCGGTTCTCTATCCACTGTGCCACCTAGCTGCCCCCAGAACCATCTTTTAATCTGAGACTGGAATGAAGGAGAAAAATAGTGAAGGAAGATGTGTGAGGAAGGTGAGACATGGAGGAGAGGAGAAGTGAATGGTCTCAATTTGAGTGAATGGCCTCAATTTTTTTATGTGACGTATGAGGTGAGGCCCACATTAGAGAAAGTTTTGGGGAGGAAATGCTGTGGGAGCAGAGATTTGGAACAGCTGCCGTGAGGGTCGGCTTGCGAATTACCTTGCCTCAAGGAGGGCCCGGCTGATAGATCAATTTGTAGTGAGCCCAGTCAGCATGGTTTCATGATTTTCCTCAGATAGTTAATACTATATGTATATGTGTGTGATTATACATATGTACGTATGCCTGTGTATGCATAAAGTAACCCCGGATAGGAGAACACCAACAGTGGGCAGCCAAGAGGGCCTCGTGTCAGAAATGGCGTTTGAGCTTGACCTTAAAGGAACCTAGAGATTCCAAAAGGTTGAGGTGAGAAGGGACAGCGTTCCAGAGGTGGAGTTAGAATGTCACATGGGGAGAAACAAGGAGACCAGTTTGGCTGAAGGTAGAATTCATGTGTGGGTGGTTGGGAGGGATACCGGGAAATCAGTCTAGAAAGATAGATTGGAGTCAGATTGTAAAGGGCTCTACATACCAAGCAGAAGAGTTTATTATTCTAGAAGCAAGAAGGAGCCATTGAAAGTATTTAGCAAATGGGTGGAGGATCACCTGGAGAGAGAAGCCTCAGAGGCTCTTTTTAAAAAAAGGTTATGTAGTCGTCCCAGAGGTCTGAATTTGAGTGCTTGTTAACAAGCATCTATTTCACCCACTACAGCCAGGCCCCGTGCTGTGTTCAGTGAGTGGAAAAGTGGAGTGAAGGGAACAGACATAAGAGATATTTGGGGAGTGGACTCAATAAGACTTAACAGGTGATTGGATATGGGGGTTGAGGTAGAAGAGCTGAGAATGACTCCAAGGTGATGAGCCTGGAAGGATAATGGGGCTTTGGATAGAAATAGGGAAATTAGGAGGAGGGGCCGGTTTAAGATACAGACTGGACATCCAGGTGATGTCCAACTGGCATTCTCAGAAAAGAGACGAGGGCTGGATATGTAGATATGGGGATTATCTTCATAGAGATGACAACTGAACCTGATGGAGTGCTTGGTGCTGTCTTCTTTCCTAAGCAGGATCATGGCCTTAGAGCTAGAAGAGACTTGAGGTCATCTGCTCCACTCATCATATGCTGTGGATGAGACCAAGTCCAAGAGAGGCTTGAAGTGACCTGCCCAGGATCACATGGGCAGTAAGTAGAAGAGCTGTGATTAAGCCCCAGTCACTTGACAAGAGATCCAGAAAGTGGTGCTGATATTACTAAGATAGAATAATACTCTCCACTCTTAATGGAGATAATATTGTTGAGTCTATTGATAGATCTCCAATCCTGAACTCTCTTCTGAGCGCCAGGTGTGCATGCATCTCTCATGTCCTTACAGGATGTCTCCACCTCCCACTGGCACATCAAAATCAACATGTTAAAAGCCCAGTTCACTATCTTCCTTCCTAAACCAGCGCTTCATTATGACTGCACTATCTTCAGCTGTGGTACTCTACCTCCTATATGTGAAAACTTAGAGGTTATTTTGGAATGTTTCCTTTCCCTCACAGCTCATCTCCGGTCGCATTACCAGTTAAATCCTTTTTGCCTCCTCTGACTTTACAAAGATTCTCATTCCTAACAGGTCTTCTCACCAACCATTCATTACCCCCTTGAATCCATCCTTGTTGCCAAAATAATATTTCTTATGCACAGATGTAGCTGTGGCCCTTCTTCTGCTTCCCAAGTAAAATTCAAACTCCTGTGCCTAGCATTTAAGGCCCACCACAACCTGGCACTATTCCACCTTTCCAGTTCATTCTATACTCCAGTCAAAATGCTGCACAAATCCCAACCCTCTCCTGCTTCTGGCTATTTCCTAGGCCTGGAATGACCTTCCCCCTCCTCTGCCTACTGAATTCCTTTAAAGCTCAAGACACCAGCCTATTCTCACTGTGCCCTTTCTTAGTATGGGACTTCTTCCCATTTCTGTCTTCAGTGCACTTGGCATGTAACAGTAGGGATCAGAGTTACTTGTATTTTTGTCTCATCTACTGACCAGACTAAAGGCTCCACAGAAGTAGACTTTATATCTTATCTAAACTTTTATCCTATCCTAGGGCAAGGCTCTCTGTAGTATACTTAATAAATGTTTGTTATTTTTTAGTAGAGGGGAT